AAATGCAGAGTTTCTTACGAAATTTTGCACGACGCGCAAAACAAAAGAAAAGTGAAAAAAAATGAAATTTTGAAATTTGAAATTTTTTAATGAAAATTATCCCCCCACACGCCATTTAAAGTACAAAAAGAGAAGTTTCGTTCCCTGAAACAAATCAATTATGGCAAATAAGCTTCGTTCAACCAATTTAGAACGATTTATAAGTTGGATTAAATCTCCGCTTACGCGTTAATAGCGCCAATTATATCGCGCGTTAATTGTCCCAAATTGGTCAAAATGGCCAAAATGACAATCTTTAAACCCTCATAACTTTACGAAAAATGATCACAGATGAAATATCTTTTCAAATTTAAGCTCAGATTAACAATACCTTTTGAATGATATAATAAGTTTCGCCAAAAATGGCTAGTTAAAAAGTCGAAATTTGTCTGAAGAAAAAAAAAACCCACCCGAGCACAAATATTCCGTTACTTTCGTATCAAAAATCGGAACAATAATACCCAGGTAGTCAGTTTTTCAAGCGTTTCTATATAAAAACTAAGGTTCTCCTGTTAAGTTACAGTTCAACCTTAAACATTTTGGGTTTTCTTTTGAACTGTTAGAAAACATGCCTTTGTTTATTTTGTATCCGCACACAAGGTACAAAAAAACAAGACTGCTCGTATCAGGGCGAAGCCCTGAATGATCCGACTGCCTTTTAAGGTTTATGGAGAAGCAGCAATAACATAAAAAAAATTAAATGAAATTAAACAAAATGAAATTTTTTTTCTAAAAATTGAAACTTTTTATGAAAACCATCCCCCACGCCATTTAAAGTACAAAAAGATAGGTTTCGTTCCTTGTAACAAATCAATTATGACAAATAAGCTTCGTTCAACCAATTTGGAACGATTTATAAGAAGGATTAAATCTCCGCTTACGCGTTAATAGCGCGAATTAATTGTCCCAAATTGGTCAAAATGGCCAAAATGGCAATCTTTAAACCCTCATAACTTTACTAAAACTGATCACAGATGAAATATCTTTTCAAATTTAAGCTCAGATCAACAATACCTTTCGAATGATATTTTAAAAAATCCGTCAAAAATGGCTAGGTAAAAAGTCGAAATTTGTCTGAAGAAAAAAAAAACCCACCCCGAGCACAAATATTCCGTTACTTTCGTATCGAAAGTCGGAACAACAAGGTAGAAAAATATTGAGGAGTTTTGTGTGCTGATTATCAGCAACACTATGAAAAGCCAGATATAAAATCACAAGATCATTCACACGACATGATTCTGTTTTAGAGATTGAAATTAAACTGCCATTATCTGAAATATTTAGAGCGACAGTCCGATAAGCAAAATGAAGAGACGAGATCATGGCTTACTTGCTAGCAAAAACTTATTTTGTCAAAGTAAACTGTTTTTTCACTTTTTGTTTTGATTTTCGAAGAAAGTGACCAAGATTTTGTGCTCGGGTTTTATTTTTTTCGCCAGAAACATTTCGACTTCTTACTTAGCAATTTTAGTTGGAACTTGTTTTTTATACATTTCAAATAATCTTGTTGTTCTGAGCTCAAATTTCAAAAATATATATATTTTTCACTTGTGATTATTATTTTTTCATTAGTTTAAGTCGTTGAGCAATTCTCAGTTGCAGCGTTTGACTTGAACTAACGATTGTACTTTTCGACCGAGGTGCACCTTATTTCTCTTAAAATTAGAAAAAAAATCAACAATTTAAAACCGGTTGTTCTCGACACTAAGAAAACTTTTTGAAGTTTTGAAATTTCTGTCGAATCACGACTGAAAGAGCTTTAAAAAGACATACTCATCAACATGTACCGACAGTTATTTGTGGTAGTTACCTTTGGGCATAACATTTTTTTATATTGACAAAAAAACTAACACACCTGAATACAAAGTTCCTCCACGTTTTTCAAATAGTCGGAACAATCATATCATGAGAGAAGAAACACGTGAAAAAAACAGAAGCAGTCTCTTAAATTGTAGATTTCCTCTCGTTTTGGTTTGAGTTTGAGAAATGTGAGATTTGAGAACCCACTGAAGGCGTATCGAAACGGTTTTTGTTCACACAAATTTTCCAGTGTTATTAATTCCGCGTAGTCATAATTCATTTTTTCCTTGTAATTTTCATCATTTGTTTGGCCTCATATTTTAGCAGCTGAAATTTTTGTTTTCCTTTGCAATTATTTCCAGGGTCGATAATTTGAACCAAAGAAATGTTCAGTGGTGGTCTAAGTGGGACGGAAAATTGAGTGTTTCTCGGGCTAATTTTAGAAACAGCAGAAGTCAGTTTGCAATTTACACTCCATTCAGACGCTGTGAGCCAAACATGTACAAATATTCAACTCAATATGTTGCCAGCCGATTGATCGGGGTGGCACCTATTTTGCCCAAAACTAATAGGGGGAAGTTTGTGTTTTCCCTTCTGTTTTCGGGAGAAAACGAGTAAAGGGCTATAAATAAAAAGTGTTATTGTTGCTTTATGATCCAAATTGACTGACGATCACGAGATGCCCCCCCCCCCCCCCCCCCGAGGTACGAAGTCCAATTTGCGGCAGATTATTGCCGACTGTCTACGGTCTATTAGACAATTTTCAGGATAAAAACGTTGCACAAATATTCAGATCGGGTTTCAAGCCCTGCTGGTATTTGGCTGCCAGCTCAACACAAATAAAATCTTCCCAGTGAGTTTATCATACGGCTACTGATGGAAGAAGGAAAACATTAAACGACGCTTCCTAAACAAAGCCTCCCAAGTTTTCCATACTTTCGGACCATTTTTGACAGCCTATGGGCTTATACAGCGATAATCATGCTCAACTATGGCCCGAAGCACATTATAAAATTGGCCCATATGTGAACTAACGAACCAACAAAAAAGGCCATATGAGTAAAGTGTCCAATCAGCACCTTGTTTAATTACCAAAATGAACCAAATTATGTATAATATAATCTCAATTGACCTTGTGACTTCAGAGGCGGAGAAAAAAATGGCCTTCAGATTGGCCACCTCAGTTTAGAGTTCGTTTAAAGCTTCAATTAATTATGCTAGTTGAAAAAAATCAAAAGAAAATGTTTTTTTTTTATCTAGAAAAAGAAGAGCTATAATGAACAATATCAATTGAATGATTAGAAGCCGAACTCCTATCATGATTTGTACTCCCTGCTAGACAGCTAAGTCAAATAAGTCATAGCACAAAAAAATATGTATTCCGCGGTGCCAAAATTGGAATAAAATCGATTATATACAGAAAAATACAGGGTAATTTGTTATTGTGGCCACAAATTTCAACACCTAAGATTTCTCAAAGAACAGTGCTACGAAGCTCAAACTTTTTAGCAAAGTTTATGAGATAAAACCTAGTTGAATCAGATACTTATTGATACCATTTCAGTGAATACTAGAAGCTAGAAGTCATCTAAAGTTTTGGCAATCTTTTTCCACACACAAAAAGTGTTGAATCTGATTTCCATTTTTCTAGATTGCCAAAAATCACCAAAAGATAGTTGCGCTCTTTTCTCGAGACAACAAGAGTGTAACTGACATGATTGATTGAAAACTTTTGGATATTTTGTTTTCAAGGCATGAAAGTTTGCAGGTCTAAAGTCCCGAAAAACGCCTTCATTATAATGAGCCCATAAAATTGTAGAAACTCTATGCAACTAAACTTAGGGCCATTTTAAAAATCACATATTGAAAAATTTTTGTTTATGAATGTTTTTACAAAAAATCGCTGAAAACAGTGATTTTATTTATGATTTGTGAAGAAAGTTGGCACAAAAACACTTGTTACCGCTGGAATTCAAATCTTAAAGCAATCCCTTGAAATTTGTATTTGATCGTTTTGAGAAGAAAACATATGCACGCAAACCATTAATTTATTGATGGGTCATATTTTCATTCATAGCATTGCCAGACATTGGTGTAAGTTTTTTTGCGAGAACTGCTTATTGTATTGCCTCTGTTTTGATTCCTTACATCAATTTTTGTTTTATATAAGCGCTGTACTTAATTTTTGTTTTTTTTTGTTTCTGTTATATATTTCAGATGGCGAATCAAGCAGAAACAGGGCTGGTTAGAGCCACATCCGTACAAGTGGTGATGTGTAGAGTTAGAGCCACCAGAATCGAAGTGGATGATGTGTGTGCTGAGGCTCCAAAGTGCACCTCCTTGTCACCCGCGAAACTGTACCACTTGATGAAGGAAGGAGTCTTGAGCTATGTCTACGTCTTAAAGGTGACCTATTTTGGATCAAACGCAAATTGGGCTTTTGTATACGATTAAATTTTTGGGAAAATGAATGAATTTGTTCTAATTAGTCTGCCAGTTTTATTCAGCATCAATGGGTATGGACGAATATGTCAAAAATGAGCTTCAAAATTTTTTTGGAAGTCTTATGACCAAGTTTTATAGATATCACAAACAGAACGAAACAAGAGCAGCCACCCGGGTTGACCAAAAATGCTAGTCATACAATTTCCATATATGGAAAAATGCTAGTCATACACTTTCCATGCAATTCCATACGTACAGAAAATTACATGAAAGGTCTATGATTAGTAATTTTTTTATATATGGAAATTGTATGATTAGCATTTTTTTGACGAAAAATTTTTTCTTTTTTATTTGGTACGATACACCAAAATTTATGCCAAAACAAGAGAAAAGTTCTCCGAAAATTTGATGACACCATTTTAGCAAAATGTATGAAATTTGTATGAGTAGTGTTTTTTCATAGACTTAGTTTATGGACTTGTATGATTAGCATTTTTGGTCTATAGAGGTCAACCCGGGCAGTTGCGGTGGCACAATAATTTTCAACCTCGGAATTTAAAACAATAGTATTCTGTTAATTTGAATCTGATTAGCAAAAACTTCGAGCCGATTTTTTTTTCAACGCAAAACTTTTTTGAATTACCTTTATAGTAATTGCATCACAACTTAAACAGGTACGTATTCTTATGATGGAGGGACCAAATAATGGAAAACTTTCAACCAATCAAAATCATACAATTTGTGCGTAAAAGCAATAAGTGCTTTTTATATTTTTAAGTTTTTTCTTAAATCGGTTGTACGTTTTTCCATTAAAAGATTACAGTTTCGCTTTATTTGAAATTTCATGTATCCGTTCTTTTTCTATTCGGTCAAAAAAAATGTATGGCCTGGATTTATTTTTCTTCTTTGAGGTTTTGCTATTTCTGTAAGATTTTTGAATAATCAATTCTGATTGGCTGAAAATAAGTGAGAATAAAGATCCAACATTCTGTCCATCCATCATGAGGGACGCCAACGCTTTAGCATGCTGATTTTTCTTCGAAGTTGTGATTTTTCTTCGAAGTAATCAAAACCGACTTGAAGCAACCCACCATATGTGAATAAAAAGTTTTAATAAATCGAACCCTTCAGGTTTTATTCTAATGAAGTTTCACTAGATGATGACCTTGGCCAATTCTTGTACTACCCGGGTTGAAGTCCCACGGTTAATTATTGCTTTTTCTGTAGTATCCCAGTGATCGCTTTTTTCCAGCGCTGATTCACGTATAACTCAGAGCTTGTTGCGTAGATAAACCTGCGATATGTCAGATATATTTCCGTAATGACTTTGTAGAAAATTGCCGTTAAAACTTAAGAAGTTTTAACTTTTTCTATTAGCTTTCGAATGACAGTTTTCATTGATAAGCTCTTCAACTTTATATTCTCTAAGGATTGATAGCGAAGAGGTAGCATGTACAGATCTGAAGGTTAGGTGATCAAATCCCTGTTACAGCGCTATTTTTAAGGTTTTTTATAGCTGTTTCATTGCTGAAAATAAGCCAAATTAGCGATAATTTATCGAAAAAATTTGATATTGAGGCAATGAGCACCGTTAATGAATCGAAGGCAATCGCTGTTTTTTCACTTTTTCATTGCTTATTTTCAATGTGAGCTCAACCTGGGTAATTACTTCCTCAGTAACTCGTTTACCTTGATCCTGACGATCATCACTTTTTTCCTTACTTTCTGGCATTAATTACGCCTTTTTCGAATTTAACATCCTCAATTATCAAGTAAAAAATAAATACAAATAAATGTCATAATGTTAAAGCAGTGTTACAAGTCTATTTAGTTCTTGATAGTTCCTTTTGTCAATCATTTCATTCCATTTCAATAGAGCTGGTTGGCCTTTGGCTTGTGTGCCACCTCCGGATTTCACCTCAAACATTGTCTCGTTTGATCTTACTTAAATCAGTTGTCTACTTATCTATTCTCTTAATTCAAGAATCGAATTAGAATTTTCAAGATGGCGCAGTCAGCAGGCGTGGAAGGGGGGCGGGGAACCCACTTGGAAATGTTACATTTTGGCCGGCGAAACATGCGGAAACCCCCATGTTGTGGGAACTTTGGCTTTATCGCTTCCAATCGGGAATGGTTGCGAAACACTCGATAAACCCGAAAAACGTCTATTTCGCGGACTCGTTGACGGCTGCGCAGATAGCGGCTTTCCCGGAACAAGTGGACGGAAGAACAGATTATCGGCAGAACAGACCCTTATTTTGATCCTCTAACTTTGCTTGGGGGAAAAGGATCAAGAGTAATATGGGAAAATTAGGGGCTATTCGTCGGTAAGCGTTATCCATGAGCAAGTAAACCAGGATCGATTCGAGTCGGAAGAGACGGGAGACGAAAAATCACAGCACGAAAATTCAGTTGAATGGGTGAATCCGACGGCAGGAAAGCGGAACTAATCTTCGAATTAACGAACTTCGAATTAACGAATATTCACAATTAACGAACTTCGTAGAACGCTGGGCGCCGCAGGCATACGGTTGCAGGAGGTCAATCCACAGGATCAGGAATTTTGGGATTATGGGAAACGATGAAGGTGGAGCTAGCGTCGAATGGTTGGAGTACCTCAGCTGTGATAAAGGTAATTGGAGCAGCACGCCCCTCGATCATCGGAAGAGACTTGATGCCAAACTTAGGATTGCAGTTAGTACAGAGGAAGCCGGGCCAGGAAGTGATGTCAATACAGGAAATAGTCGGGGATGAAGGAGAAAGTCAATTGGAGAAGTGGCAGGACTATTTCAGTAAGCTATTTTCAAATCTATTTAACGGGGTGGGGAAGATACGCAATTATAAAGTGCAGGCCGAATTTTATAAAGTGCAGGTGGAGTCTGAGAGCGACAGCCAGCCGTTGGCTACAAGAAGGATTGGTAGAAAATTGTCATTGCCCAAAATACAGGCAGACCTGAACGAAGGACATACTGGGACCATGCGCGAAGGGCGATCGGTAACGGAACTAGCAATGCAAGAGAAGTCGGCGAGAGAGCAAAATGAGAAAGCGACCACGTCGGCCACGGAAAAAAGAAGTGGCGAACTTGCTGAAATTGGCGAAGAGGACGGCATACCGGAGGCGACGGAAAGAACAAGCGGCGGGCTGTAAGAAGAAGCGAGCGGCAAAACAGCGGCTGTTCTCGTATTCGAGTCACGACTCGGAAAGTGATACGACATAGTAGTCGACGTTTAAAAACTCAGTATGTTACACAGTTAGGGCCTAATCTCATGGCCTTACGTTAACTACGATCGGCAGGACGGAGACAACCTTTGTGCTTAAAAACTTTCATTGAGTACTTAAAATTTATCCAAATCATTTCGGTGCAGTTACTTAATTTTTACAAGATGTTATGTCATAGTGCTAAATCAGTGTTCCAAGTCTATTTAGCTCTTGATAGTTCCTTCTGTCAATCATTTCATTTCTTTTCAATAGCAGGTAATTGGCCTTTGGAATGTGTGCCACATCCGGGTTTCACCTAAATCATTGTCTCGTTTGATCTTAATTAAATCAGTTGTTGTTCAGACTTTCGATACGAAAGTAACGGAATATTTGTGCTCGGGGTGGGTTTTTTTTTCTTCAGACAAATTTCGACTTTTTAACTAGCCATTTTTGACAGAATTTTTTATATCATTCAAAAGGAATTGTTGTTATGAGCTTAAATTTGAAAAGATATTTCATCTGTGATCAGTTTTAGTAAAGTTATGAGGGTTTAAAGATTGCCATTTTGGCCATTTTGACCAATTTGGGACAATTAACGCGCGATAAATTTCGCGGTATTAAAGCGTAGGCGGAGATTTAATCCGTCCTAGAAATCGTTCCAAATTGGTTGAACGAAGCTTATTTGCCATAACTGATTTGTTACAAGGAACGAAATTTATCCTTTTGTACTTCATATGGCGTGTGGGGGGATGATTTTCATAAAAAGTTTCAAACTTTAGAAAAAAAAATTTCATTTTGTTTTATTTCAATTAATTTTTTATTATGTTTTTACTGCTGCTCCATAAGCCTTAAAAGACAGTCGGAACATTCAAGGCTTCGCCCTGATACGAGTAGTCTTGTCTAGTTATCTATTCTCTTAATTCAAGTATCGATTTAGCATTTTCAACATACAATTGCTTAGCCATAATTTAACTATGTTTCGAGACATCAAAATGGATTAAGCCGTACACTCGCTTTTGAAGTTTCCGCATAATTCACTTAATAAATGCAGAGTTTCTTACGAAATTTTGCACGACGCGCAAAACAAAAGAAAAGTGAAAAAAAATTCATTTCAAAGTGAATTCCAGCTTATTATAAAATCCATTTTAATGGATTCCAAATGAACTGTAATGCATTTTGTTTTGGTGGAAAAAATGGATTTAAGTCCATTTTTGTCCAAGTTTGTTGTCTGAGTGTAACATGGGAATCGATTATATTTACAGCAATAAAGACCACGAATATCTATTATAATCAATTTGTCTTCATTTTTTTAAAAGCGGGTACACCATATGAAAGCCAGCAGTTTTAATTATGGACAGCAATGGCCTTAAAGTGAGTGCTTAATAGCAATTTCTCTTTGTTTACCTTGTTAATTTTATCACTCTACATGTTAAGCATAGAGCGTATTCAAACTTTCTGCTATAAAAATATCTTTTCCTGTTTTTTTTCCAATAATCAAAACTAAAATAACAGCCAGTTACTATGAAAAAATCAAATTTGGTCCGACTATAGTTTCCGCTAAAAGGAATTGAGAAAAGCTAAAGCAAGTTAAATCATAATCAGCTCGTGGGCTGCTTGCATTTTGATTTTAAGAAAACTCCGTGCAGAAGTCGAAAAATTCAAAGTAAATGATGATATAGATGTAATAGATTACCAAAAGGCAGAATGATTTGTCCTATAAATATAAAGCTGCACAAGACAAAGAGTTAGAATAATATAAAAGACAAAAATTCAGTTTGCTACCGATGTATGTTTTTTTTTCATATCTACAACAAATCAAAAAAATTCAGCACTTTTAAAGCTTCAGCGCAGGTTTCCAGCGTACAAATAGACAAAAATTTAATTTGGTAGTGACTTATTTGAGTGCCTGGGAAAAAGGGTTAGCTGAACTTTTGGTTTAAAAATCCTACGGCACAAACTGCCATAAAAGGCGCCGGTTACTTCCTATGACTCCAATTCTATTTTTTTTTACAGATTTGACCAAATTGAAACTTGCTTGCTGAAAAGTTTTCGATAAAAAACAAAGAAAGTATTGGAAATGCTTAAATATTTCCAGGGAAAGGTAAAAAAAATTGAGAACAGGAGTGTATGAACTCTCTGCTCAGATTTTTTGATATAAAGAATATTGTCAAATAAAGGAAAAGAGTACCTCAATATTTGAGAGAGATTTAAAAAATATAGTTTGAAACAGTTATAAGGCCAAAACTATTAAATAAATAAAAGCAGAGGCGGGTCTAAGATTTTTGCAAGAGAGTGGGCGCGCATTTTTAATGAAATTTCCAAAATTTTGTCCACTTTTTTAGGTTGACCAAATTATATTCCGAGCGCTCCCAGAACAGTAAACCCTATTACGCCAAAGTTTTCCGCGCTGCAGGCAAAAATGCCGTTCTTAATATCTAGACCCTAAAGGGCAGTCGCAACATTCAGGGTTTTGCTCTGTACGAGCAGTTTTGTTTCTTTACACAATATCTATTTCTAATAGAAGACAGGCTGGGTTGTCATAATTTCTTATGATCCCGGGTTGACCTCCATACACCGAAAATGGTTATCATACAATTCCATACATCAAGTGTATGGAAAAATGCTTGTCATACAATTTTCATACAATTTCTAAAAATGGTTGAAAACTGGTATAAACTTATTTCTGTGGATGTTTGATTCTTATAAAACAATCTGGTGATAAAAACTGAGGTCCTCGTTTTTTTGAAAAAAATGCTTATCATACAATTCCCATATATGCATTTTTTCAAGTAATTTTGAAAATTTGGCCCAAAAATTTTTTTGTTTTTTTTTCAACCGCAAATCGAATTTCGTACGCAAACAAACATTTTTCGAAATTTTTTTTGCATGCAAAATTGAATATTTTGTGTGCATAACGTAGTCCTGGATACGATAAAATTGGCTTTTATTTTCTTTTCACTTAATTTTTTTTTTCGAAAACGCTGAAAATTCCTATTTCTTTTGTATGGGTTGTAAATGTAAGCTTTGATCAATGTCTGATAACTTGAAAATTCAAAAATTTAAAATAATTATCATTAAAAAATTTTGCCAAAAAATAAAAGTTCGTTACTTTTGTTATATGAATTGTGAAAAACATCCTATTTCAGGTCGTTTGCAATTGTAAATGCAAGACCGTCCAACCTTTGGTGTTTTGAGTAACCAAGGTCTTTGTCACTTGTGTTCGGTTGCAAACTCAACCAAAAACTTTTCAGAAACTAAATTTTGAACGAAAAAATCAATATTTTTGGTTTATGGAAAAACACCTATCATACAATATTCATTTATGGAAAAATCTTTATCATAGAGATTTCATACAATGTTCTGTACGTATGGCATTGTATGGAATTGTATGACAAGAAGTTTTTTATAAATGGAAATTGTATGATTAGAAGTTTTGGTCAACCCGGGATGCTATAAAAGCTTTGAATTCGTTACATCTAAGCCGTAACCGTTCGGTTTTATTGGCAAAATTATACTTTGAATATATACTTTGCTCAAAAACAAAATGTATCCAAATTGTTTTTTTTCTTGAAACCAAAACTTTTTTGCATAATTTTTACAAAAATTCAGTCTGAGTCACGATTAAAAGGGTCGCTCAACGTGATTTTGGTCCTATATTTTGTTTTAAAAAACATCCAACGATTTTTCACACTAGGTGTCTTTGGAACTTTTACTGTCTCTGAATCTCCAAATTTCAATTATTTTGTTTGTTTGTTTGTTTCAGTCTTGTGTAGATGAACGCTTGGAAGCTTTAGACCAGAAAGTGAGCAATCAATCTTCACCAAACAGTAGTGAGTTCACTTAGATCACCCGGGACCGAAACTTCTTATCACACAATTCCCATATATGAGAAATTTCTTGTCATACAATTCCATACAAGGCCATACGTACAGAAAATTGTATGAAATCTCTATGATAAACACTTTTCCATAAATGAAAATTGTATGATAGGTGTTTTTCCATAAACCAAAAAGTTTGATTTTTTCTTTCTAAATTTATTTCTGAAAAATTTTCGGTTGTGTTCAAAAGAGAATAAAAGCCAATATTATCGTTGCCAGGACTACGTTATGCGCACAAAAAATTCAATTTTGCATGCAAAAAACCTTTTTTCGAAAAATATAATAGAAGGTTAGTTTTGCATAAGAGCTTATAAGCCTACGGGCATCTAGAAAGTAAGTGTTCCTCAGTTGTTTTTCACCCATCTTCATGACTTAAGAATAACTTCAAATTATTCCTGGCAGCTATGGTATAGCACCCGTCAACATATCCCTCAAACTGAAAACCGGCCAATAGACAAACTAGACGTAAATTTTTTAAAATTGAATTTTTGGAAGATTTTTTGATCAGACATAATCATTCAGAAAAGTCCTCTTCTGCTTAAGTTGATAAAAAACGAGCTTGGCAAAACTTTATCAATTGAACCAAAAGGAAGTCAATAAGAATTTTTTGAGCGAACTGTCCGACTTTTAAGAAAAAAAAACTCAATTTTTCACTGTATATGATCATAACAAGACTGCTCGTATGAGGGCGAAGCCCTGAATGTTCCGACTGCCTTTTAAGGTTTATGGAGCAGTAAAAACATTCAAAAAGTAAATGTAAGGAAAAATAAAATGAAAATTTTTTTTTCTTTAATTAGAAATTTTTTATGAAAATTATCCCCCCACACGCCATACAAAGTACAAAAGAATAGATTTTGCTCCTTGTAACAAATCAATTATGGCGAATAAGCTTCTTTTAACCAATTTGGAACGATTTCTAAGACGGATTAACTATCCGCTTACGCGTTAATAGCTCGAAATGTATCGCGCGTTAATTGACCCAAATTGGCCAAAATGGCAAAGTTTAAATCCCCATAACTTTATGAAAATTGATCACAGGTGATATATTCTTTCAAATTCAAGCTCAAGACAACATTAGCTTTCGAATGATATAAAAAAATTGCGTCAAAAACTGCTAGTTAAAAAGTTGAGATTTGTCTGAAGAAAAAAAAGCCCACCCCGAGCACAAATATTCCGTTACTTTCGTATCGAAAGTCGGAACAATAAAGTATTACAAAGAAATTGAGCCAAAATCAAGTTTCTGTTGAAAATTATAAATCATTATTTTAGTCTGAAATAAATCATTATTTTACTTTTTAACTAGCCATTTTTGACAAAAAATTTTTTGCATCATTCGAACGCTATTGTTGTCTTGAGCTCAAATTTGAAAAGATATTTTACCTGTGATCTTTCTTCGTAATGTTGTTGGGGTTTAAACATTGCCATTTTGGCCAATTTGGGTCAATTAACGAGCGATATATTTCGCGCTATTAACGCATAAGCGGAGAGTTAATCTGTCTTAGAAATTGTTCCTAATTGGTTCAAGGAAGCCTATATGCCACAATTGATTTGTTAATAGGCGCACAAACTATCACTTTGTACTTAATATGAGGTGTGGGGCATGTTTTTACATAAAATCTTCAATTTTTTTTTTACTTTGAAACTGTTCATCTTATTATTGCTTCGCCCTGATACGAGCAGGCTTGTTTCATTTAGAGGTAACTCAGTAAGGGGACGGATTTAACGAATTACACACTGAAAAAAAAAGCTTGGTTATCTAAATAGAAGCCAACTGGTTCTAAATAATGTCAAAACATTACTCGTTATGAGGAACAACATCATGGGTTGACCAAAACTTCTTATCAAACAATTTCCATATATGAGAAACTTTTTGTCATACAATTTCATTCAATTCCATACATACAAAAAATTGTAAGAAAACTCTATGATAAGCATTTTATCATATATGAAAATTGAAAGATAGATGTTTTTCCATAAACCAAAAAAATTATTTTATGTTTCCTAATTGGATTTTTGAAAAATTTTAGTTGTTTTCAACACAAGTGACCAAGAACTTGGTTTACTCAAAACACCCAAATTTGGACGGTCTTGCATTTACAAAGCATAGAAAGCGACCTGATTTGTCTTCGAGCTGTCTTTCACAAATGATATCACAATAATAACAAAGTTTGAAATTGGGCGAAAATGTTCAACGAGGATTTTACTAAAAACTTGAACTTACAATTATCAGACTTTAATCAAGGTATAAATGAACACGCCATACAAATATATTAGAAATTTTCAGCGTTTTTCAAAAAAATATATAAATCGAAAAGAAAAAAAAAACCATTCATTAGTGTATTGAGTTATGAACTTTTGGTTGTACTCATAGAGTAATTTCAGATAAGGTTCACCGTCTGCTCGTCACGCCATCTTATTTTCGGCCGGATAGATTTGTGAATTCTCTGAGTCTAATACCAATCTCAATCGTACTCTTAAGTCTCCTAGTCTCAATAGATCTAGTGTATATTCATTTAATACGAGTCGGTTTCTTGGAGAAGGTACCTAGGTTCTAGGTTAAATTCAAATCTCTCTGGTGCTGAAATTACGAAAAATTTCAGCGCTCACAAATAAGTGGGTTGTTTGTTTCATGTAGTATGATTGGTTAGTTTTCAATATTTGATGGAGATAAATTATCAGATTAATATCCAATAATGAATTCTAGTTTAGATCTGGTTCCACCCATCCGCGGTTTACAGAGTTTTCGTTCTTAATTGTTCTACTGTAATAGAGGATGGATGATTATGATCTTTTTGAAGTTGCGAGCATCTTTCTTTTTCTTTTCAGGAAGAAGGATTGTTATAGAAAGCTCCAGGAAGCTAGACTTTGCTCAAAACTTCAGCAAAAATTCTTTCTTGGTTATTTCGGTAAAAAAATGCTTTCTGTGATTTTTTAAATAGCATTTGATCTCCTGAAACACTTTTTAAAAGACCAACAAGACTGCTCGTATCAGGGCGAAGCCTTGAGTGTTCCGACTCTCTTTTAAGGTTTATGGAGAAGTAATAATATTAAAAAATTAAATAAACTAAAGTGACGAAATGATTTTTTTTTTCTAAAATTTGAAACTTTTTAAGAAAATCATCCCCCCACACGCCATATAAAGTAGAAAATGATAAATTTCGCTTCTTGTAACAAATCAAATATGGCAAAAAGCTTCGTTTAACGAATTTGGAACAATTTCTAAGACATATTAACTCTCCGCCGCTTACGCGTTAATAGCGCGAAATATATCGCGCGTTAATTGACCCAAATTGGCCAAAATGGCAATGTTTAAACCCTCATAACTTTACCAAAAAAGATCACAGGTAAAATATCTTTTCAAATTTGAGCTCAAGACAACAATAGCTTTCGAATGATGTGAAAAAAAAATTTGTCAAAAATGGCTAGTTAAAAAGTCGAAATTTGTCTGAAGAAAAAAAACCCACCCCGAGCACAAAAATTCTGTCACTTTCGTATCGGAAGTCGGAACAATTAGTAAAATCTCAAATTTAACATTCAGGCTAAAAAATTGATTTGAAACTTTCAACGGAAACTTGATTTTGGCTCAATTTTTTTGCAATACATTATTGTTTCGACTTTCGATACGAAAGTAACGGAATATTTGTGCTCGGGGTGGGGTTTTTTTCAGACAAATTTCAACTTTTTAACTAGCCGTTTTCGACGCAATTTTTTAAATATCATTCGAAAGCTATTGTTTTCCTGAGCTTGAGTTTGAAAAGATATTTCACCTGTGTTCATTTTGCGTTAAGTTATGGGGGTTTAAAGATTGCCATTTTGACCAATTTTGGACAATTAATGCGCGATAAGTTTCGCGCTATTAACGCGTAAGCGAGATTTAATCCATCTTAGAAATCGTTCCAAACTGGTTCAAGGAAGCTTATATGCTATAATTGATTTCTTAATAGGCGCACAATCTATCACTTTGTACTTGATATGACGTGTGGGGTGATGTTTTTATATAAAATCTCAAATTTTTTCCAAATTTTTTAAATTTTTTTTTATTTCTTTGAAATTTTTCATCTTATTATTACTTCATAGACCTTAAAAGGCAGTTAAGTTGATAAAAAACGAGCTTGGCAAAACTTTATCAGTTGAACCAAAAGGAAGTCAATAAGAAATTTTTGAGCGAACTGTCCGACTTATAAGAAAAAAAAACTCAATTTTTCACTGTATATGATCATAACAAGACTGCTCGTATGAGGGCGAAGCCCTGAATGTTCCGACTGCCTTTTAAGGTTTATGGAGCAGTAAAAACATTCAAAAAGTAAATGTAAGGAAAAATAAAATGAAAATTTTTTTTTCTTTAATTAGAAATTTTTTATGAAAATTATCCCCCCACACGCCATACAAAGTACAAAAGAATAGATTTTGCTCCTTGTAACAAATCAATTATGGCGAATAAGCTTCTTTTAACCAATTTGGAACGATTTCTAAGACGGATTAACTATCCGCTTACGCGTTAATAGCTCGAAATGTATCGCGCGTTAATTGACCCAAATTGGCCAAAATGGCAAAGTTTAAATCCCCATAACTTTATGAAAATTGATCACAGGTGATATATTCTTTCAAATTCAAGCTCAAGACAACATTAGCTTTCGAATGATATAAAAAAATTGCGTCAAAAACTGCTAGTTAAAAAGTTGAGATTTGTCTGAAGAAAAAAAAGCCCACCCCGAGCACAAATATTCCGTTACTTTCGTATCGAAAGTCGGAACAATAAAGTATTACAAAGAAATTGAGCCAAAATCAAGTTTCTGTTGAAAATTATAAATCATTATTTTAGTCTGAAATAAATCATTATTTTACTTTTTAACTAGCCATTTTTGACAAAATTTTTTTTGCATCATTCGAACGCTATTGTTGTCTTGAGCTCAAATTTGAAAAGATATTTTACCTGTGATCTTTCTTCGTAA